ACATACTTCCAACTCGACCTTGTCCTCGAAGTCGTAAACCCATACCACTTTGTCCACCATATAAGAACGAATTAGCGCCACTACCGCCACGTCTTCGATTTCCAAGACTAATACGTTGAAAAACAGGTGCTGTTCGTGGATTTGTATATTGACGATTAATAATAGCAGCATTATTACCAAAACCAAGTCGATAATTAATGCTTCGCTAAAATTAAAAGTAATATTAGACTTAAAAAAATTGGTCAATTAAACAGCACTTTAATAGATACAGTGTAATCTCTAGGTATTTTCTAAAAGCAAACTTTTTTTGTTCACAAGAACGAGACGCGTTTTGCAGGTTATTAATGAATAAAGTAATTAGCTATTATTCATTGTCGTTAGAACTTTTGAAAAGCATCTATCATAGAACTGTAATACGGTAGCCACTATGGGACATTTTACTATATGTTATAAATACAGTTATAAAAAAAAAGAATTAGATTTCACAATGTAATATTTTGTTGTTGAAAAGAACTTCTTCAAACAATGTTAAAATGATTGTATCTATAATTTCGTTCCAATGGTAATGACCTTGACTATTCTTTTTTTTTTTCTTTAATCTATATTTGATAGTGATATATCGAACATGAAAACTATCAGCTGCGGCCAATGTTGACTTGCTTCTGTATCACAATCAAACATGAACTGAGGTAACAGAATGAATACTCAGTGTCATAAATCGTTCAACCAAATTTTTGCGGATAGACTAATTTTAACATCGTCTGAAGAAGTTGTTATTAAATAACGAAACGTTACATTGTAAAATTTAATTATTTTTAATTTATTATTGAAATTAAAAAGATCAGTATCAAAATAAAAGCTGACATCTAGTGTGATTACTTTTTATGAAAGTTTTTCAATTTTAGATGAAAAACAATTTCATATAACTAGTGACGTAATTCAAAAACAAAAATCTAGAGAGAAACTCTCAACAACTTATAAGTTCCCTCTAGCTACTTCTCATTAAATGGTTACGACATGAAGTGTAACTCTTAAGAACCTTGTTCAATAATGTTGATCAAACTACTTCATCATATCAATAGTTCTGATTATTTTTCTATAGGCGTTTTCATATAATAATCAAAACATAAAAGAAAATAAAAAGATACTCATATAATCAAAATAACTATTAAGTAATAGGTTATATCGAAATAAGAATAATGAATTCAAATATAACGATAAATGATCGTTATACTTGTCTCTACCAAAACAAAAAAAAAAGAAATTATTTTCATGTTTACCTTTTTAAGACGATTCGCAGCGCTTAATGTTGCTGATGGTTTATTTCCAAATAATTCTTGTCGAAATTTAGGAATTGTTACATTAGTTTGTTGTTGAATACGTGGTATTGGTACAGGTTGTTTAGCAATTTCGCTAAATCTATTTGAAATCATTAAATGATATTATTCAATTTTGACAACGTATATATACCTTTGATCAAGTGTTAATTTTGTAGCTGATTTTAAAATAATTTTTCCAGTAATCATTATTTTGTTTTTGTTGAATGAAATAAATGAGTGAGAAAAAAAAACAAAAATGAATATAAACGAACGAACAGCAATTATTTTCCTTGTGATACTTTAGTGGGTATAAACAATAAGCAATTAATCGATTGGTTAATAGAAAAATAATGTTAGATATGATTTATAAAGCAATATATTTTAAATACAATTCTAAATTTTAAATATTTTTTTACATTCAAAAAACAATATGTTTTTTTTTTGTTCTTTTTTAAGGAGTCCTTTATATAAATTTTTATTGGTTCAATATTTTAACCAATAAAAGATCAGAGTTAATTAGAGAGATTTTTTACGTCTTCATATGATGAACTATTTTAGATTTTCATAGAATATGAATTTTCAATATCTAGTCGATATTAAAACAGGTAGCGGTGATGTTATCAGTATGGGAAAGTTAAATTGTGATCGATTCGAACGACTTCAACAATTAACTTTTGAAATAATTAATTTTATAAAAAATTTTTATTTAATGAAGAATCATTTTAAAATGTATAAATACAAATTTGATTTAATTTTACATAATAAAAGAAGATTCTTATTTGGCTCATATATAATTAAATGAATATCAATAGAATTTGTAAGTTTATTGAGAAATCTAAACTTAGAAAAATTAATCTCATATAGATTTAATGAAATATAACCGGAAGTTTACATAATACATCAAGGATTTTTAGTATATCCGGAAGATTTATCATTGATAAAATTGAAGTCTGTATCTTGAACAATTCTTTATATCAAGGGAATAATTTTCTGTAATCATGTCAATATAATTGTAAGTCATGTAAAAATAGGATATAATTTCTTGCCTAATAGAGACGAACTATGATTGTTGTTTTAGCTATTCCATAAGATTATATCACTTTAAATCATTATATGAAATTTTCTTTCTATCAAAACATTTATCTTAAGTTGATAATAGCTTAAATTCAATTGATTGACACGTAAGATTTAATAAACTAAATTGACTTATATTTGAATAATGTCGAAATTTATTTAATAGTAATGCGATATTGGAATAATTTGGATATTCGAGGTCGACAAGTTCAGATCTGAGGAACTGTTGAAAATGTTCTTTGATCTATTCGACAGTATTTTCTCTTCGGAACTATGAACACCTATTTTTGGGAGTACAGATATATAGTATGTTGTACATTAACCTCAAACTCCGAAAGGTCTCCATGCTGAATAAAACACTACTGTTCGAACGGTTTAGTTCTATTTTTGAGAAAGACACTTTAGTGTATAGAAAAATCTCTTTTTTCCATTACTGAAATGTTGTTCAAAATTTTCGGACGGAACAGTTCAAACAATTCTTTCACTCATTTAGTTTGAACTGATTGACTCCTATTGAATATTTTGTTGTTTAAAAGAGCAAAGTCTGAAAAAACATAATCATAAAATAGAAAATTGCTTTTTGAACAAAATAAAAACTGTACAGCTAGATAAATGTCGAGGTGTGTGTTTCGATATTATGATTTTTACATGAAATTCTTGCATTCATTAGATTGTATGATTAAATTTTTTATTCAAAGGCACGATGGGTTATACGTCATTATTAATGGACACTAGTCGGAATTCAATCAATAAAATCTCATATGAAAGGTCTAAGTTATAAAAGTAAATTGATTTTATTTGATCGTGCAATTAATTTGAATGTAAAATTCGATCGATTAAAATAATATTCTATGGAAATCATTAATTTCCTATTAGATACAAAACAATAATCATTAAAATAAATTATTCCGATATATGATATAATATTATTCGACAATATTGGCTCCTTTTTTTTAGAGTAAATTTATTTTAATTTATAAAAATTCATAGAATGAATTTATTTGTTTTTCTATATTATTAGATTTCAAGTCGAGAAGTAGATCACTCAAAACAAATATTTTACATGTATAAGAATCTTCAAATAAAACAGGTTTGAATAGTTTTTAAAACAAATAATTCCTATTCGTCCTTTCTTCGTTGTTCAAATATGTTTTTTTTTTCTTTGCCATTTGTTCGTAATCTTGAATCAAACAAATACTCAAGTATTCATACATAATTAAACACTCGATTATATGCTCTAATACCATTTCCATCACTTGTTTCTAATACAATGACTACAACTATAAATCTCTATGTAGAAAGTATCTTTCCTTGAACTTATTATTTTTTGTTATGTACGAAAAATAAACGAAATATATTTCCTTCGAGCTAATATACATATTTATATATATGAGTGTGTATGTAAATATTTCTCTTATTCAATCGATACATGATACGCCGTCACTTTGACTCGATCTCTTTCTTTCGATTTTGTTTTATATATGTGATGCTATTTGTTCAATTGGATGTGTTCAACAACTCATACTTTTCTTTTATACATACATATGTCACGTAATAGAAATTTTTCGTTTAGACAAGTTATATTTGTACATTTTACACTTTAACGCTCCAAGGCGAAGTGTTCATACATACAATTGAACGAATAACATATATATCGATAGTAGGAGAAGTCAATGTAGTTATTTTCATTAACGACCATGTCCAGTGACTAATTGAAGATTTGTTCATATAGTCTATAGATGTTAGGTCAACTTATTCCCTATTTTTTTTTCTTCTGAATAAATATTGACCTCTGGTCTTGACAGACATCAAGATAATGGTTAAAAACAAAATGAGTGAATAAATGTAAAAGATTATTTTTTTGTTCCATGTCGTGTATGCGTGCTCATACTTAATTCTGTTCTTTTTTTTTTCCTCTTCTGCTGTTTCTTTTCTCTTATGACACAAAATACGAGAAAGTTGTCAGCGAAATGAGACAGAGGGTACACATAAAGCGACATTGAAATCAACTGTTGTTCTCTGAAAAAAAAAGAACGAGTAGGCGAGGGGAGCAAAGAAAAAGAAAAAAGATGGAATCACACAAAAAAATAGAACGGAGTATTAATCGGTCTTTTTTGTCGACCCTTTTATATGAAGATAAGAAACAATAGTAGAAGTGATGTATTTTGTGAGCAAATGGATAGAGAAGACTTGGTTATGTAAAGAGAAAGAAAAAAAAAAATAGAAATGTTTATTTTTGATAAAGTTTGAGTTGTCTTTCTTAGGCTATTCAATAGGCGTATTATTCAAAATACATCAACACACTTTCATTACTCAAGCCCTTTTTCAACTTACAGTCGTCAAACAACATTTTTCTTTCCTTTTTCTTTTCTAATAGTTTTTTTTCCTTTTATACATTACATATAACCCTCCTTTTATTGTTATACCTTAGTGGTGGGAAATCGGTGTTCTATTATGTCTATTCAATTATGAAATCTAGTCGATGAATATGATGAGATAGATTTTATTAATGATTATGATACATAAAACGATGACAACAATCAATAATTCTCAATAATGTTATATATCGAATGTCGTAAATAGTGTTCATCTTCGACTTCATCTCCAATGTATTCCTCAATTGTTAACAAATCAATAGAACCTTGTCCTATATCATCATCATCATCTCCTATTACAACATCATTAATCTCAAATAATGATAGTATACCTATCAGTAATAATTCTACATCATCATCATTACAAACATATGGAAAAAAAGAAAATACATTAACAAATATTTCATATTCATCATACAATTGTTCAAATGATTATTATACAAAAAAACGTATTGAAGAATTACATGAACGTATGGATGATATACAAATATCAAGTTTTTTAAAATTTATTAATTATCATTTATCATTAAAAAAAGATAATGAAAAGAAAATTTTTATAAAAGATTTATCAAAAGATTTATGTAATGGACATGTTTTAATTGATTTAATTGAATTATTTTCATCAACAAAATTAAAACGTGAACATGGTCATACACGTTTTCATTCATTAGCAAATGTTCAATATGTTTTAGATTATTTAAAAATACGTATGCAACATATTGATATAACACCATATGATATTGTATCAGGAAATCGTAAACAAATCTTAGCATTATTATGGATTATAATGAGAATATTTGATTTGCCAGCATTTCGTATAGCAAATAAAAATTGTTTTGTAGAAAAAACACTTTTAGGTTTTGGACAAGATCGTAGTACTATTATAAATTGGTTAAATAATATTTTAAATCAAAGTTTAAATACAAAAGAAATTTATATTAAAGATTTTTATATCCATACGTGGGATGATAGTTATTATTTATCATTAATTATTAAATATTTAATACCATTAAGTATAAATTATTTAACAAATAAATGTTTTAATTATTTAAAAGAATTAGATAAATTAAATTCTTATGATCGACAACGTTTTCTATTATGTTTAAATATTTCAAATTATTGTTTTAATACAATAACAATTATTGATTTGACAGATAAAAGTGAAAAATGTTTATTTAAATATTTTGCTGAATTAAAACAAAATATTTTAAATATTCTCAAAGCAAATCATATCGGAAAATTAATTCACAATAATCCTTATGCTAAACAAGTATTTGATACAGTTATTCAAACAGAAACAGGTAAATACCAGATAAATGTTGAGATGATGTAATGGATTAAATCAGTATATATATATATACATTTTACTTTTTATTTATAGAACATTCTTCACATGTAATTAATAATAATGAAGAATATTTAAGTTGTATTGAAGATGATCATCAACAAGTATCAACAGAAAAACATAGAAGATTGCCTATGGATTCTATAGATGATATAACACCGTCATTATCATCATCAAATAATATTGATGAATCATCAGATTTACGAACAGTAGAAAGATCAAGATCGTTTTATGATGAACAACAAGAAGCAAAATTAAAGCGAATAAATTCTTCGGAGAAAATCGAGGATTTAGAAAGGTATTAATAAAAAGAAGATATTGTCATCATTGAACAAAACTATGTCCTTGACCTATAACGAAATGAATGTTACAGTTTTAATTAAAGAGATAACATAGAAATGAAATTTATTCTTCAACTATTGACATTTTCATCTATAATAAGACTTAGTCAAATAAGATGATCGTTGAGGATTTTCATTATTGAGCAGAGAAATTCGTTAAATATATATTTTTTTCAATAATTAATATGTAACTTTGACAAACAATTAATTAAAGTAGAACATATTGAAAAAAACAACATGTTATCAAACCCTTTGTCTTTTCTTCATTTCAATGATGAAAATCATAGGTCATTATCTTGTTTTTATCGAAAAATAATATAGGACACTTTTGTAATTGATTTAACTATATCTCTAAAAAAAATTGTTCTTTATGATTAAATTTATTTATTTATAGTAATTTCCATATGATAAATACTCATAATGAAATGCCAAAAGAAGAACAGACTGAAATGATAACTGATCAATCAGAACAGCTTAATGGCTTAGTTGAAAATTTACAACACAGTGTATCATCAATTGAACAAAGTGAACAAGATACAAATAGCTATATAGATGCTGAGGAATCAATAACTCCAATTGAAGATTCTGAACAATTTCTATCAACAATTGAACAACCTACAATTATTAATAATGAAACAAAAGAAATGACATTAACACAAATTGAAAATCAACTAAATGAAAAATTAGAACAATCTACAGATGATTATGAAGAGTCACAACAAATTACAACGTCACAAAAAGAAATTGTACAACCAATTGAAAATAAAAATTCTATTACTATAGATGACATATTAGAACAACCAATTTATATAATTGAAGAATTATCACATCCTATAGTATTAATTGAAAAATCAAAGCAAATTACAACAGAAGAACCAAAAACTCAATCAATAACTTCAGTCGAAGAAAATAAACAATCTACAGATGATTATGAACCATCAGAGCAGTTTACAATATCCCAGGAAGAGATTGAACAATCTGTTGAAAATAAAAATTCTATTACTACGGATGAAACATTAAAACAACCAATTCTTATAATTGAAGAATTATCACACCCTGCAGTATTAATTGAAAAATTAGAGGAAATTACAATTGACAAACCACAACAACAATCTATAACTTCAAATGAAGAAGATACAACACAAATGACAAATGAATATGAAAAAATGGAGCATAATAAACTTGACGAACCTACAAACCAATCAATAATACCAACAGAGGAGAATAAACAATCTACAGATGATCATGAACAGTCACAACAGTTTACAACGTCCCAGGAAGAAATTGAACAATCTGTTGAAAACAAAAATCCTATTACTACAGATGAAACATTAGAACAACCTACGTTTATAATTACAGAAGTATCACAACCTGTAGTATTGAATGAAAATTTAGAACAAATTACAATTGAAGAACCACAACAACAATCTATGAGTTCAAATGAAGAAGATAAACAAATGACAAATAAATATGAAAGATTAGAACAAACTTTAGCATTAATTAAAGAAATTGAACAATCAGTTAAAAATAAATCGTCTATTACGGAAGCTGATCAATCAATAAGCACAAACGAAGAAGAAGAAGACGAACTATATTTAATATTAAATGAAAACATTAAACAATCTAATGTTGAAATCGAGCCATTAGAGCAATCCACAATTGCAATTGAAGATAAAACCCACGAACAATTGAATACATCAACTGAAGCAAATAATATATCGACAATTGAATATGAAAAATTGGAACAACCAATTTCAAATGAATCTTCTAGTATTACAAATCAAAGATTAGAACAACTCACAACTGAACAACCATTACAATCAATTGTATCAAATGACAATGAAGACATAAAACAATTTACTGTTGAACCTGAAAAATCAAATCAATCACCAGTTCAAATTGAACAAAACGAAGAATCCATTGAAAATCAAATAAATATCGAATCAACACCAGATTTATCATCAAACAAAGATTTTCAACAAACAACACCAACAAAACTTGATAATTATCACATTCCAGTCGATGAAAATTCAGAACAACATACAACTAAACAATCATCACAAGATGAAATATCAGATGAAAAAACATGTATTAAAAATAATTCATCGATCATAACAAATAAGAAATTGGAAAAACCTACAGTTATCGAATTACCACAACCTATTACATTAAATGAAGATATTAGCAAATCCACAATTGAAAATCAAGAGTTCATTGCCGATACCGAAAATTTAACACAAACAATAGTACCATCTCAAGAAAATCCGCATTGTCCTACTTCGGATGAACAATTAACACAACCTAAAATTTTAGTTAATCAACCAGAACAACGTACAGTTCCAGCTGAACAACCACTGTTAACAACAGCAACAATAGTTAAAGGCCCAAGATATTCTGATGTTGTTAATAGACAATTACCAAAGGCAACAAATGAATCCGCAAAACCTACAGATTCATTTAAAAAACAAGACTATTCAATAGAATCAAAGAAAAAAATCATTTCACCTATAGTAACGATTGAAACACCTAAACAATGTATCAATACAGCTGATGAAACCGAACAAGTTCCTTTGATAAGTACAATTAAAGAACCGGAACAATCTGAAGTATTACTTGAAAAACAAGAACCATCTACCACTATCATTGAAGATGCACATGATACATCAATAATATCAAATGGAGAAAATCAAATATCATCAACAAAAAGTAATAAATCGAGACGATCTAATGCTAAAAGAAGAAAATCAAAAAAGTCATCAGTTACAATTGAAAATTCCCCACAAAATATCATTAATAATAATGACGATGATGATGATAATGAAGAAAAAATTGAAACATCATTACCTTCTCAAAATCTAAAAAGTATTATTCCAGAACAACAAACAAGTAACATTGAATCAGAAATTGAAAAATCGTTAACAACACTTAATAGATCATCTCATGATAATACATCCACAAATCAGTAAATATTTAATGATTATTAAAAAAAAATCAAACAAATAATTTCACCTTCTTGTTTTTTTTTATAGTTCAAATCCTCAAAATTCAAGTGCCTTACGATCTCGTAAAAACAAAAAGAAAACAACAACAACAGCATCAATCGAAAAATCTTCATCTCCTATTAATTCAACGACAACGGATAATCGAAATGTATTTCTTATTACAAAAGAATGTCTACATGATCGAAAAATACTTCTATTCGGTTGTGTTTTTATTCTTGTTTGTTTTTGTTTTTCAATTATTATTATTGCTCGTTCTCATCAGTGATATTTATTTCATATTGTTAATTGAACACAATCAACAATGCGTTATCTTTTCCTTATATTTCTTTTCTTTCTTTTTTTCGTTTCAAAAAAACAAAAACTGAATACTCTCTATATTGTTAAAACATTTTATTCCTATCTTTTTTTGGCAAGTTTGTGTGTGAACAGTTGTTTTTCTTTTTGTGACATATAGATATTTTCAATTCAAATAAGGATTAATGACAGAAAGAAAAAAAAAAAGGGCCGAAAAATTTTAAATAAATGATTAATTAAATTTTCCATGAATATCTTAATCAATCAAATATTCAACAAATATTTATAATTAACAAGATAAAAAAATTAAAAATAAAGTTAGTAAATTAGAACATCTTTATTTTTATAGATGTTGATTAAAGCTTTTTTATTTAATTATTCATTTCAACGTATAACAACCTATCGATGGTTATCAAAAACTCATCAACCATCACTTTTTGAACCAAAATGGGCATCAATATTTGCTAAAGCAACAACTAATTCATATTTACCATCATCATCAACATCAGTTAATAATAATAAAAAACCATTTGTCATGCTTTTTCCACCACCAAATGTAACTGGAACTGTTCATTTGGGTCATGCATTAACTACATCTGTTCATGATTGTCTTTTAAGATGGCATACAATGCAACAAAAATCATATGCTCGTTGTGTACCAGGTTATGATCATGCTGGCATTGCTACACAGGTAGATTTGAGATATTTTTTGAATAGTGATGTTTTGTTGGTTAATTTAATACAACAAAAAAATGAAGCATGTAAGTCATCTTGAATAGATTTTCGATGGAATATAGAAAGAAAACGTTCATATAGTCAGCCTGTAAGATTATAGAGTAAAAATTTACAAGGATATTAAGTATATAATAGGAAAAGAAACAATGTAAATATTAATCAAGACTAGAACTAATCGAAAACTTTTCGAACTTTATATTTGAATTAACATAAGGATGATTTATTTTTCTTGCATTTAACAACAGTAAAGTCTTTTCAACTTTGGCAGATTATTGTATATACATAGTAATAAATAATTACAAAGTTTGAGGTTGATAACTTTTACTAGGGATGAGGAATTATAACAATACTATCATCTACTATTTTAGTAATTTTCCAATAACTTAAATTAACAAAATTCGATATGAAACTGACAGAAAAAAAAATCTTCTTCTATGAAATTTCGACAATTTGTTCCATATCCGCCAGAATTTCTACAATAAAAATTATTGTTGAAATTTTCAATTTACCTATGAACTACAGTGGAATGAAGTGAGAATATTGGTGAAACTCTATAATTTCGACAATTTATATAATTTCCCGCTGGAATTTTGACAAATTTTTTTATTGTCAAAAATCCTATGGGAAAATTGACAAATTGTCATAAATCAAATGGAAAAGTTCCGGTTTATCATTGTGATGACAGTGACAGATTGAAAAAGTTCAATTCTACTAAATATTATAACAGGAAAAGAAAATCAACTAAACAGTTAGATGATTTACGACATGTAATTATTTAAGATGAATAAGATCATGAACAAAAGAATACGGTTGACTTTCTATGCTATTAAATACGTTTTTATCAATCAAATTGAGTTAAACATTGTGCTACTAAACTAGCCGATATTTGTCTTATAAAAAATATTTGAAATACATTAAAAGAGAAATTATAAGGACGTGATGACAATAATATTAAAAAAGTGAAAAACAATATTAACAGGAAATGTAGAGAAAAAAATTTAGTGTTTCTCTATATCAACCAATTGTTAGTTCACCATATATACAACAAGATTTTGAGGGAATCTGAACACTTTGGTCGAAAGTAAAAATGTTGAAGGATGAAGTGTAAATAGTAGAGCAACATCCACACCTTCAACCTTCTGGTACATCGAAGCAGAAAAACAAACGATCAACAACATTAAAAAAAAATCTATAATTATTCAATATAGAAGCATTACTTTACATTGACAAACTAAGATGTAAAAGCTTTTTTGTTTTGCTTGTCTTTAATGGTTTCTCTTTCAATAGTAAACATTCGATTCAAATTATCTACTTGATTTTTTTTTCAATTTTTTCAACAAGAAAATATTTTTGAAAGTTTCTACTTTAATTTTCGGCCAAAGTAGGAAGAACCGAATTTTGTATCTAAATAAATTCTATTAACATTGAAGTGATTTGCAAAAAGAAAAAAAAAATAATCAAAGCATGAAATTACAAATTTCGATTAATTTTATTTTATTATGTTAAGGTTATTGTTGAAAAACATATAGCACCTCAAACACGTGAACAATTAGGTAGAGAAAAATTTCTTGAAGAATGTTATCAATGGTCTTCAAATTATCGTCAAACAATTGAAACTCAATTAAAACGTTTATGTCCATTATTTGATTGGTCAAATGCTTATTTTACAATGGATAAAAATCTTGTTGAATATGTTCGTGATTCATTTTTACATTTATATAATAATGGTCTTATTTATCGTGATCGACGTATTGTTAATTGGTGTTGTCAACTTCGGTCAGTTGTTAGTGATATTGAAGTTGATTCAAAAGAAATAAATGGACGAGAAAAATTTTCTATTCCGGGATATAAAAAAGATATTGAATTAGGTATACTTTATAATATTGCATATAAAATTATTGATGAACAACAAGATAAAGAAATTATTGTTAGTACAACACGGCCAGAAACAATTTTAGCTGATACAGGTATTGCTGTTCATCCAAATGATTCTCGTTACATATCATTAAAAAATAAATTTGTTCAAAATCCATTTAATCCTCAAGATTATTTACCAATTATATTTGATGAAAATGTTGATCAAAATTTTGGTACTGGTGCAGTTAAATTAACACCAGGTCATGATACATTTGATTATACATTAGCAATGAAACATAAACTTGAAATTCGAACTATGTTAAATGATCAAGGTTATGTACAACTTGATTTAAATCATCCATATTATCATGAATTAAATAATTTACATCGTTATGATGCACGTGAAAAAGTACTTCAATTACTTGAAAATAAAGGATTAAGAAGAGGAGAAAAGGAACAAGAAAAAATGGTTGTACCTCTATGTAGTCGAACAGGTGATATTATTGAACCAATGGTTAAAGAACAATGGTTTCTTGATACAACTGAAATGTGTAAGTTAATTTGTATAAGATTTGTTTCGATAGATATATACTAAGCTTGGTTTTTTTTTAACTCTTTACTTTTCATAGAGATTTCAGAAGAGCCATTGATGTAATAACTATTAGTATAGAGTATTAATGTTTTGAATGTATCAATAGTATGGATAGATTGACTAGGCACATTTTCATTTGTAACGGCAGTTTGATCAATTCAGTGATCATTGAGTAAAGAACGACTTGACAAAAAGTCTGCTGCGAGTCTTCCATAAATTTGATGTGATTCGACGAAAAAACATCGTAAAAATCTCGAGCATGTCTCATTTTGTAAACAATTATTTGCTGTATCATTACGCATGGTAGGAGAAAACTTTAATACTCTAGTTGTGAACACTGAAAAACTAGAGATTTGGTTTTTTAAAAATTTCCTAGTGGCCATTCTTTATCATATCATCTCTTGTCTATCTAACTTTTGTAAAACTTTCGAATGATATTCATATCAGTAGTAGCAATAATCGTCGTTATGTATTACTCAATACGCTTTCATCATGTATTTTCTCTATTGGTAGGAATACATTTTATATAAAAAAATTCAACTTTTTTTTTTCAAACTTATCAATTTTTGTAACTCATCTTTTCCAGAGACGGCACAATCAAAAAAAATTTTTTTTTTTATGAATTGATATTTTCAATTTCATGTTTCATTTATTTTCTGTACTCTTTCTACAAATAGTCATTCAAGTGACTAAAGAGGAAAGATAAAGAATTAAACTTAAAACTTTATTGTTAAATCATGATCATGAAATTATACTCATGAGTAAATTTTTCAGACTGTAAAAGTCGTATGACTTAATGATATATTTATTCAACATAATAGAAAAAAATAATTATAATAATACGCTGGTACTCATGTTGAAATTTCTTAAGTATGAATCTTAAAGATCTTTATCAAAAAAAATAATTCATTAGTTTTATAATCTATATTGAACTTTAACAGATCATTTCAATAGATAAAGAAATCAAATATATTGTTATTAGATAAAACCCAATTTATGATTACTTAATATTTTTATTCATATATAAATTGTCATAATGACTTTCAATAAGAATATCTCTACTAGAAACCAGAGATCCAAGAAACGATCTCGCGCTCTTCACCATTCCATGTTTTAGGCCGTCCTGAAAGAATACTGAAGAAACAAATGAGTCCTGGCAAAACACGAAACAGGCAAGTGATGCGCCCACATGTGAGTAAATGGTGCAAGACAACGCGAGTTTGTCTCATGGATCTCTACTAGGAAAGATATTTATTTTTTGAATAGTTTATTAATTATCAATCGATTGCTTATTCGATTCATCAATTTTCGGTAGTATAAACAATTCAATCTATGCAAAAAAAAATCCTGTTTATTAATGAATAATCTCTTATGAATATTATTATAGGTCGTCAAGCTTCATCCATTGTTGATAATAATAATCTGAAATTAACACCATCATCTACTTGTAAAGTATGGAAATATTGGCTTGATAGTCCTCGACCATGGTGTTTATCAAGACAACTTTGGTGGGGACATTCAATACCTATGTATCGATGTTCAATAAATAATAAATCATCTGAATATAAATGGATTGGTGCAAAATCACTTGAAGAAGCAAAAATAAAAGCTAAAGAATTATTTCCAAATATTCCATTAAATTCAATTCATATTGAACAAGATCAAGACGTACTTGATACATGGTTTTCATCAGGTTTATTACCAATGTCAATATTTAATAAAAATAATTCACAAGAATTTCCAACAACATTACTTGAAACTGGTTATGATATAATGTTCTTTTGGGTTGCTCGTATGGTTATGCTTGTAAATACTAGTTATTTAGTTTTTTTTTTGTAAATATGATTATTCAATTGAAAAATCTTTGTTCTTTTTTTTTAAGAGTCTTAAACTAACAAATCAATTACCATTTCATGAAGTACTTTTTCATGGATTAATTTGTGATTCAAATGGAAAAAAAATGTCAAAATCATTAGGTTAACTTAAGTGTTTTTTTTTTCTCGAAAAAAAAAATGAATTTTTCTTTAAGGTAATATAATTGATCCAATGGATGTTATTAATGGTATAAGTCTTCAATCATTACAAAAACGTCTTGAACAATCACATTTATCACGTAATGAAATTGAACGAGCTAAACGTGCACAAGCTATTCAATATCCATCAGGTATTGAACCAATTGGATCTGATGGTCTTCGTCTTTGTCTTTTATCTCATGATATATTTCATCAATCAATACGTTTTGATCCAACACAATTCGATTATGTTGCACGTTATTGTAATAAATTTTGGAATGCTTATAAATATGTAAAAGAATTTGCCTTAGCTGATATGAATTTTCATCATGAAAATATATCAAATATAAATTATGAACAAATAGAAAAATTAGTAAAAAATCGTCTTGTTGATCGTTGGATATTAAATGAATTAAATAAAACAATAGGAAAAGTAAATGATTGTTTAAATAATTATACATTTCATCTAGCTATTGTCCGTCTACGTGATTCATTTTTAAAAGATTTTTGTGATTTTTATATTGAATTTAGTAAAATTCCTATTAAACAACAATCAATAGATAATATAAAATCAAATGTTCAGATATTACTTTATTATTTACTTAAACAATATCTTATTCTTTATCATCCATTTTTACCAGCTATGACAGAAGAATTATGGGAAGATTTAACAAATGGCAAACAAGGTTATCTTATTCATCAATTATATCCAACCATGAAAAATATTGAAAAGTAAAATTCTTGATTTCATTTTTACGAGTTTTATATCAGAGACATAACTCAGCACCGAAGGCAAAAGAGGAAGCGCAAAGTGATTGAGTTTTAGAGAAAGGAATGCCGCGTAGGCAATGATCAAAAGCAGGGAAGCGGTACCCCCACAGAAATTAGTCCCCTGTTTTATATTATTTGAAAATGTCTCCTTGTATAATTTCAAAAATTCTAATATTGAAATTTTTTTTTTTATTCTTAGTATTAATCCCATTGATTCTCAAGTAGTACAAATAATTCGTTTAATTTTAAAAAATGCAACATATTTCAAACAAATGCTTCGTTTATCACGTGATTCTGATATTATCATTCATTTTTATAATCAAGATAAAGAAGATTTATCAATACATGTAGAAACTTATTTAACAGAAATTCGTACAATAACTCGATTAAATAATATTCATGTTTGTCGTTCATCATCGTCATTGAATAATTCTTTTAATTTATCAAAATTTTCATTTCGTGATTATATAACTGATAATATAGAACTTATATTTAATTTAAATGATAATAAACAATCAAGAGAACTTGTTGAAAAACATGAAGAACGATTAAGTAAACAAGTTGATAAATTACATGATGATATAGGTGTTAATGAGATAACGATGAAATTTTATCAAGAAAATAATGATCTTGAAACTCTTGAACGTGAACAACGTCGACGTGAAAGTTTATCTGACGATCTTAAATTAACTCAACAAAGACATGAAAGATTTGTTGAATTAGCTCAAAAACGAACTATTATTGAAAAAAAGAATAAAAATCATAGCTGATTTTCAAATTTTTGTTTTTTTTTTTATTTCTAATAGATACTTAAACTTATTTTCATTTTGTATATCGATCAATGAAGAAATAAGTTGTTTGTGTGTGCTTGGGACTGTTATCTTTTGTTTTTATATTCATATCAAATCGAAATGATGGGTATTAAAAAGTAGTTTAATAATCATTAATAGTTGAATAAACATATTTTAGAGATTGTTCTTCGCCAAACTGATATACTTTTTTTTGTCTCATATACTAAGAAATATTCGATTCAGAATAGTATGTAATAGTTTTAGACTTTTATCTGTTTATTTATATTATATTAAATCTGAGCAACTGTAAAATATTTGTAAGATTTGATAAGAAGATAACTTCAATAAGCTAACATATTTCATCGTCATTAGCGGTCTTCTCAAGGTTTAATTAAGTTAGAGAATAAATCGTAAAACTGAAATTTGCTTCATGATTTTACTAATAAATCATGAGGAATTTATTTTGACTAAATCCTATAACCGTAATCAATACTAAAAAACAGAGTATGAATATTAATAAACTAATCGATCCCTCACATTATAGAAGATTCTCGCAGGGAATACAATATGAAGTTCAGGTAACGTAATAAGGAAGAAATCAAACTCTCCTAGATGTTTGCTGTGAATATTTTCGTTCTTGTTATGTATTATTAACAGATAAATTAGATTAAATTGTTGATCTTTATCAAGTCAATTTTGATACAATAATAAAGAATGACATACATCAATATATGATTCCGTGACATAAAACATAAATCCAATATTATAGATAAAAGATCAAAATAATTATAAGAAAACTGTTTTCTCTCCAATCATTTGAAATTGACAATCAAGAGAAATAATATTGATGAGAAATTTCAACTCTAAATTGGAGTTAAATTCCAAAATTGTCATTTGTTTCCTCCAAAAGCATTGAAATAACATTTTGTGAATTACAACATGAACTTCAATCGACTTGACTCAGAATTAAAGTCGAAGTGGAGTTGACATTAGTTTAAATCAAAGTTTGAATAGAATTGATTAGTTGATAGATGGAGTCGAAGTGATCAACAATTTTAATTGCCCATCCCTGACTTTAAAAAAAAATCGATTAATCCATATTGAAATGTTTGTTATTCGGTGCTTCCAAAGTCTTAATTAAATGTTTTAAATCATCTGTTAATTTTAATCCATCTAATTTTCTTTTTAAAAATTCAAAATCAATTATTTCTTGTAATGGTCGTTCAAATAAAATATTTTCATTTTTATTTAATTTATGAAGAAAATATCGTTCAGCATAACAACAAATAATAATAATTTCTTTTGATTGAAATTTATTTAATGAATTAATATTAAGAAAATGAAAAAGTTCATTAATATCTTGATGTGTTTTATATTGATTAAAATATTCGAAAACAATATCTTTTGCATCATCAATATCAATCGTAGTATCAGGTTGAATTTTACGTATTAATTTCATAACAATTTGTTGTCGATTATTTAATGGTTTTGTATATTTAACTAGAAAAGATAATGATGAAAGATTTTCTAATTCATCATATTTTGATGGAAGTGTACATTGAATTGATAATCCATTAAGAGTTCTTGGTGCTTTAGATTTTTCTAATTTTTTTTCTTCTAAACGAGTTTCTTCATTAAAACGATTAATTAATTCAGATGTTTGTTGTGTTTGTTGAATTAATGGATTTATATATTCCATTTGAAGAAATGTTCCTTTTTCTTTAAAATTTATATAGTCTTTATGCATATCATTAATGAGACCAGTGTAATAACCACCTGAAAAATAAAAAATAAAAAAACTTTTAAGAAATTTTATTTCATATGTGATACCTGGTACTGCTCTAACTTGTTTATTTTTAACAAGTTTAAGTTGTTTTCTAAGCATTTGTTTTTGTTTATTTTTTTTCAATGAAATTAATGATTTAGAATTTGTAATTTGTGTTGTTTGTAGATTTTCATTATTTAATGATATGTTTTTGTTTTCTTTAATTTTATTTTGAACATCCATAGATGGTAATAGATGAAAAATATTGTTTAATGTGTTGGAAGTTTTATCAATATGTTACGTGCTGTTTTCTTTTATACAAAGGACATCAAATAAATTGGAAAAAAAACATGGTTTCCTTAGTAATTTCGATATGATCAATATGATTTTCTTTATTAGCTGATGTTACATGATTTAATGATGAGGATTAGATTTCTTTCTAATCTTCTAATATAATTAATAAAATTCTATTTTGAACGATTAATAGTCATCAAAGATAGTATAATTCTCTTTTAAAATCTGTAGATATTTGTCATTGAAGTAATTCGATTACATCTCCAACACTTTTATAAAAGCATTTTCGTTTAACAAGCTTTAGCTCCTGATGCCCTTCACACTATGATTCATACCCAATACAAAGATAGGAATATCATAAGTCACTGTAATTCAGATGATATTAACGAATCAGAGAGAGGAATTATTCGATAATTATATATTGATGATGTGAAAGAACACAAATCACCAACTACATTTCTGCCAAATACTATATTGCATTATACGCTATTTTAGTAAATGGTATGATTTCTTACAAGGTCATGGTATATATCCATGTGCTCTTTTTGTGTATCGATTTGCCTTGTGTCATATTTGTCTTTCGATCAACTGTAGAAAGAATAAAAAAAAACTACCAAAGACAAATATATGGTATGCGACTAAAATGCTATTGAATCATTACGCTTTACTCATATGTATGACAGGTGCAAGGTGGTTCGATTTCGTTCATTTGATTGTTTTAATTGACAGTATATGGATCAATGAAGTATGAAAGACGAAACTACTATGGCCTTATTTTCTTGTTGTAGAATATGATGTACTCTTTGTTTTATTCTATAGTAAATTTTTTATTTATGAAAAAGATTTTTATTTTATTTTATTTTATTTTTTTGATTAATATTCTTTGTTTTAATGTATGCAATATTGGAGGTCATTTTTTTGTCTAACCAAGCGTAAAATCAATCGAGCATTGATGTTTTATATAATTATTTGCTAATGATGTGTGAGTCTACAAAGAAAATGTCGATAAATGATAATTTAAAAAATCATGAATCTATTCATTCTGTAAAAGTTTTAATTAAACATCGACGAACAGGCGAATTTATTGCTCGTAAATCTTTATTAACGGATTTATTTCAAATTTCACATATTAATTGTGTACGAAATGCGTTTATTGCTGGTTTTATTTTAATGATATCACGTCAGACAATTACTGATCTTATTCACTATGGAAGGTAAAAACAAATGTTTACCTTCACAAAATATAATCATTTGTTTTTGTTTTTATTTTTTTAGATTTAATTGGACATTTGAACTTCTCTTTCAGACTGTTGGTAAATTACATATTGTTGCTATTGTTTGGTCTCTTATGACATTATCTACAGCTTTCACTGTTTTTTATGGCACATACATGTGGATAAATAATCGCAAATTTGTTGGAGTTTATCTTAGTAAAAGAAATTTTTATATTGAATATTCTGAAAATAAAATTAATTAATTTTTATCATTTAGAATTTTATGATATAATTTGGTTGCTAATTTATGTTTGTTATTTAACGGGTTTAATGGTAATACCAAGTTGGCAAATTATTAAATATCAACTACCAATTGTTTCTTCAGCAATTATTCTTGCTGAACAAGTATGTTACTTCGAAAATTTAAAGTCTAGGCTATTTGGTATAAAATGTTTGACAAAAAGAAAACCCTACATGTTAAGACAAAAGGATCAATAAGAAAAATTTTTAGTTTTCAAATATGATCACATATTTTTATAAAGAGTTTGTTTGTATGCTAGATTATATAACTAAAGAAGAAGAAGAAATATTTAATAGATAAGAATTATCAATGACTATTTGAAGAACTCTGATGATAGCTATAAATATTATAAAGCTTAATAGTAGCACAAAATTTTCCAACAGACAAAAAGACTTCTTTCACTTGCAATAATAGAAAAAAGGTCGAGATTTCTTTTTAATTTGTATATTCGAAAAACAATTTTCTTTTAAACACGATTATATTAATTAAGATACTATCCAATAAAAATATAATATACTTGATTGTTCCTTGTCAGTAATAAAATTAGTGGAGTGATACAGCGGCGATCGCTTCGAGAACCTTTTTTTTTTATCATGATTGTCGATTTCTTTCGCTGATTTCTTGGATCCGCCACTGTTCCTTGTAGAAATTAACAACCAAAGATTTAGTAAAAGTTAGTAACAATATGAGATCTGTTATGAATTCTCTGATCTTAACTCAAAAGAATAGTATATTATATACTAAATGGAAAAGAAGAGACTATATGTAAAGTTTGCATTCGTATTTCTACAAGACAAAATTTTCTCTTCAAGAATTTTCATAGCTAATCATTTTTTTAAAATCTTCTCCCATATGCAGAGAACGCATTTTATATCGAACTAGAGAAAAAAGAAATTGCTCACATAATCTACGAGCAATCCAAACGACGAAAAAAATAATAAACTTTATTAATGTTAAATCTTTCTATTGTATAATGTGACTTTACATGTGTAGATCATGGGTATTCCATGTTTAGATTCATGCGGACCCTATTTTGATAAGAAATAGAATTTAATATTTCGAATTAATTATTTCTATTTAGTTACGACAATTGATGAAAATACATTCATTTGTGCGTGAGAATGTTGGAAAAATTCTTCAACAATCAAATAAATCTATTGGTTTGTTGAAATTTTTTTTTTAATTTTCTTTCAAAAATTTTTATTTTTTAATATTTTGCTAAATTTAGATCAAAAATTATCGTTTGAATTTAGTCATTTTAATCAATATTTATATTTTCTATTTGCTCCTACATTACTTTATCGTGATAATTATCCTCGTACATCAATTATTCAATGGAATATTGTTATGAAAATGTTTGGTCAATTTATAATTATTCTTTTTTTAGTTTATAATATAATAACAA